TTTTTTTTTTAATTTTTTTTTTTAGTTGTGCATGTATGTGTACATTTATATTTATACACGCATGCAAACCGGTTCTCAAATCTTGAGGAGTTACTTTTGTGGAAAACATAACATATGGGATAAGGCCAAAAGAAAGGCGGTAATTTGATTCCTACAAATGATTGTGTATGATTTTAAGTGCGGAGACAGTTAGGGACATATAGCTGTTCATTTTATGGAGTACTGAAGAGTATGTAAACAGGGAAATGTAACGAAGTCCAGCTGAGCCTGCACACGGCTTGTGACGCAGGTGAAATGGTGGCAGGGTTGGTTGACATTGCATTTCATTTGCATTCGACTGGGACGCCTGGCATGTTGCATGCACGAGGCAGAGACATTGCAGTATCTCGATTTATGGGAACACGAAAAGGAACCCGTCCAATAATAATAAGGCACAGGCAGTCTTCACCTTTACTGATTAGGCTTTTAAGTGAAGTACAACAATCTTGAGTTGGGGACGATGAATTCGAGCCGCCTGTAAGAAAATTTACGCACGGACTAAAGCCTGCTAATCATTGCCCCTGTGCATACCGTGTTTGGCTGACCGTTAACAGTCGGGGTGAGTAAGAGTATTAATCGTGGTATAGCAAAAGATAATACTAGAGAAAAAGAATATGAAAAAGAATGTGTTTGGTGTACTATGATATTTGGAGGCTCAACTACCTTTAACTAATTTTATGAACTAATAACAGTTGTAGGTGACCTTTCTACCTATGAGGTAACTTGTGTGGTTAGTAAGAAATAACATTAATTGACTAGTGTCATATGAGTTAGTCTAGTATATTATTGAGTTCATAGTCTGAAATCTTGAAAGGCTATTACGATATTTCGCAGTTCGAATTGTCTGTTTCTTTCTTTATCTTAAAAACTTGCCAACTTCTGATTGACATTAAACTTTCGACAGTAAATCAGTCGTTCCAAAAACAGAAAGTGTACTCGAAAACTACAAGTGCGCACAGCATTTCCATACAACAAGCAACAAACAATGCAATCCTCATAATTTGGCCACAACATCACTAATACAAATGCCCGGAAATTGGAACAAATTTCATCTTTTGTCACAAATTCAATCACTCAACTAGATGAAAAAAACATAAAATCCCAAAGTATACATATATCCCTTACACCATACATTACAGATAGGACATAATGTGAGGTATTTAGTAGTTGAAAGCAATAAAAGCTCCCATCACACCCATCAGAAGATGGAAACTGGAAAAGTCATGAGAAGCCTCGGCTGCTGATGGTGTAACCCCAGCGCGGCTACCCGTGTTGCTCGTCGCTGGCCCCCCACTTCCAGCTGTCGCTGGCGGACTCGGATTTGCATCGACTTCTGGAGTCGAGCTTGGTGATTGTGGCTCTGCTGGAGTTTGCTCTGCAACCCAATATAATGTGTATATTTATTCAGATGAAAATGATGGTTTATTTAGAAATTAATTGGAAACACTCGTATCATTCGGTCGAATAATTATTACCTTGAACATTAGGAGAAGGAGCAGCAGCAGGAGAGATGGATGGTCCATTTGCCGCAGTGTCTGTCAAAATAGTAGCAAACTATGAATAAGCTCCAATTAACTACTAGTCCACATATATACCATGATCAAAATTGTGTTTACTTATCAATTATATAACAAAAAGAGGATTGCCACGTGTAAGCTTGTAACATACCTCGAGCAGGAGCAGGAGCAGGAGCACCAGAAGCTGCAATTCAAACAACAAATTAATCAACAAACAGATAATATAAAAAAAAAGGCGAAGTAGTTGGATTGGATATAAAGTAAAACCGAAACGATTGTGTAACCTCTGCATTGTAGGGGCACTTGGGGCATATTGCAGGAAGAGGGCAAAGAAATTGCTGCTGTTCGGTTAACGGGAATTCTAAAGGGAAAGGCGCCAGTGGCAAGCAGGCAGAGGCAATCTTTGCCGTTTGCCATGAGAGATCTAAGGGAACTGCAGCAGTCGGGTGGAGGTGTCGTCCCAGTGGCGTTGGACAAGAAGTTGATGCAAGGGGAGAAAGTTGTCATCATTGTCGAGGTGCACGGGGCATTTATTTGGCCCGAGACACGTGAAATTGACAACACCATAGTTGACAGACCTAACAACATCAACAACTTGAAGGCCATTGTGATGTGGGATTTTCTTTCTTTTCTTTTCTTTTTGGTTGTGGAAATGTGAAGGTGAGGGAAATTGCAAGAGCTTGTAGGTGTGTGATGAATGGATTTTATAGTAGGAGAATTTGAATGGAAATGTTTGGAGGGAAGTATAAAAAAGTGGGTGGGAGAGTTTGGTCTTATGGCTCAACGACTTCTAACTAATTATTTTTGTAATGTAATATGTATTAGATTAGATACATACTTCTACACATCTCTTGTTATGTTATAATTCCATCATATGACCCTTTGATAATTGAATGAAAACAATATCTGTAAATGTTGAGTCTAGAAATGGGTGCCACCCACTTCATTTGACAAGTAGCAAATGAAATAAAATACAAGAGCAGCCCACATGTTTCTGCCAAAATGAATAAAAAAGGTAGCATCATACAGTTGGAGAAAAAAAAAAA